CTAGGGGCGAGGGTGGTCGCCGCGGCCCCGGCATCCCCTCAGGGCGCCCCTGTCCGCAGGCTTCCGCCAGATTGCTCAGAACAAGGTGGCTGTCCTGCTGCTGGCCGGCGGGCAGGGCACTCGCCTGGGCGTAGCCTACCCCAAGGGCATGTACCGCGTGGGGCTGCCCAGCCGGAAGACCCTGTACCAGCTGCAGGCGGAACGCATTCGGCGGGTGGAGCAGCTGGCCGGTGAGCGCCACGGGACCCGCTGCACCGTGCCCTGGTGTGTCCTCCTGCCCCTCCGCGGCCCGAGTTCCCCTCCTCGTGCAGCCCCTTCCCACCCCGCACCGGTCCTGGCCCTCGCCCCCGTCCTAGCCCTGACCCCCTCCCAGTGCTGACCTCGCCCCACCCGGCACCAAGACCTGACTCTCTTCTGATCCTAGCCTTAACCCCAACCCCAGTGCAGACCCCACACCAAGACCTAGCCCTGACCCGATCCCAGTGCAGCCCTGGACCAGGCCAGCACCCACCCCAGTGTGACCCCCAGCTCCCCGAGGGCCCAGGCCATCCTCCTGCATGCTGATTAAACCTCCCTTGCAGGTACATCATGACCAGTGAGTTTACACTGGAGCCCACGGCTCAGTTCTTCCAGGAGCATGGCTTCTTCCACCTGGACCCTGCCAACGTGGTCATGTTTGAGCAGCGCATGCTGCCGGCCGTCACCTTCGATGGCAAGGCCATCCTGGAGCGGAAAGACAAAGTCGCCATGGCCCCAGGTGTGGCCCACCCCCGAGACAAGAGGGGGCGGCCCGGCCTAGAAATTGGAGCGTAGCTGGGGGTCCTGGAGGCCCAGTGCCCGGGTGGGCTGGAGGCTGCCCGGGATGGTGTGGTCCTGGGTCAGGGGCCTCCACTCTCTCTGATTCCCAGCTGTCCTGCGGGACAGCTGCAGGGCTGTTTGGAGAGTCACCAGAGCTGCCTCGGGCACAAGGCCGGGGTGTGCCCGCCCTCAGCGTGTCCTGGACCAGGGAGGCCCGGCAGAGCCTTCAGCAGGGCCCACGTCTTTCTCCCTCTGCAGATGGCAACGGTGGCCTGTACTGCGCGCTGGCGGACCACCAGATCCTGGATGACATGGAGCGCCGCGGAGTGGAGTTTGTGCACGTGTACTGTGTGGACAATATCCTGGTGCGGCTGGCGGACCCTGTCTTCATCGGCTTCTGTGTGCTGCAGGGGGCGGACTGTGGGGCGAAGGTGAGCGCCCTGGTCTGCCTGGCACGTGGCCGCGCCCCTTTCCGGAGCCCCGCCCTGATGACCCGCCCCTCTGCATTAACCCCGCCCCGTGCCCGGCCTGGCCCTGCCCCACCCTCAGCCTGGTCCTGGGCTGCAGGTGGTGGAAAAGGCGTACCCCGAGGAGCCCGTGGGCGTGGTGTGCCAGGTGGACGGGGTCCCCCAGGTGCTGGAGTACAGCGAGATCAGCCCTGAGACCGCCCGGCTGCCTGCGCCCGACGGGGGCCTGCTCTACAATGCAGGCAACATCTGCAACCATTTCTTCACCCGAGGCTTCCTCCAGAAGGTCACCAGGTGTGTCGTGGCAGGTGGCCATGGAGTGCCAGCTGAAGTCTGGCCTGAGCTGGCTGGGCTGTGGTCAGGAGCAGCGGATGGATTTGGGAGGAGAAAAGGTCTTGTGTTTAAACAAGCCAGAGGCACTGGGGATCCAGCATGAGCCATGTCAGGCAGCTGGCGTGAGCCCCTGTGGCTCGTGGCTTGCCAGTTCTGTTGGCCTGGATAGGCACATGGCTGGTGGCGGCCGGCTGTGAACGCTGGGGGCACAGGAGGAGACCTGAGCCTCCCCGGAGATCCAGCGGGGCTACCGCTGCCCTGTGGTGTTCGTCTGCCAGGAGTTCCCACCTGGCAGGTGTGCCTGGAGGGGGAGACGGGGTTCCCGGCAGTGGTTGTCCTGTCTGAGCTGTTTCTTCCCCTCCGCCCTGCTGCCCCCAGGGAGTTTGAGCCCCTGCTGAAGCCACATGTGGCTGTGAAGAAGGTTCCCTACGTGGATGAGGAGGGAAATCTGGTAAAGCCGCTAAAACCGAACGGGATAAAGATGGAGAAGTTTGTGTTTGATGTGTTCCAGTTTGCTAAGTTAGTGGTGGAAGTCATTTGTTTTTCTTTCCTTCTTTCTTTCCCCTGGTTTGGTGGTGGGTTCTGAGGCCCAGCCAGGCAGGGAGTGGAGGCTCAGTGAGCCTGCAGACAGCAGGGAGGAGGCCCCGGGGTGCTTTTGTCCCCGACAGGAACTAGGCCCGGGAGTGGGAGCATAAGGAACACCTGGGGCACTTGAAGTCCTTGGGGGCGGTGGACTTGGGCCTGTCCTCCTGGACCCTCCATGGCGCCTCACCCAGGGTGAGGCGGCGTGTCCAGGCCGGGCTGCTGAGGCAGCTCCCGGGGCATCTGGCGCTCACTGTGAGGTCGCAGGGTCTGGGCTTTGGCTGGTGGGAGCGGGAGGCCTCGAGTCCTCCGGGGCTCTTGGGAGCAGAGACTCACCTGCCTGTGGGGGCTCCACCCTAGGCCTTGGGTCCACCCGGCCCAGCCCGCTCCTGCGCTGGTCACGTGGCTTCACCAGCCCTCTTCCCCACCAGGAACTTTGTTGCCTTTGAAGTGCTGAGGGAGGAGGAGTTTTCCCCGCTGAAGAACTCAGACGCCGCCGACAGGGACAACCCCTGCACCGTCCGGCGGTCCCTGCTCGCCCAGCACTACCGGTGGGCTCTGCAGGCTGGGGCCCGCTTTCTGGACGCACACGGGTCCCAGCTCCCTGAGCTGCTGGGGTGAGTTTGTCTGGAAGGGGAGGGCTGTTGGGGCACAGCCTTCAGCAGAGCTGGGGAGGGGGCTCCTGCCCCAGCACCACACCCGATGTAAGTGGCTGTGCGGCCAGCAAGTTCCTGGTCATGGGTGACTGCTGGCCGCCCTCTGCCCCTCCGTTCACTTTCTGTCTAGGGCATGGCTGGGGGCAGGGAGATCCACCACCCTTACTTGCAAGTTTTTTTCAAACCATGCTGATATTTGCCTCTTTTTTTTGAGTTGGAGTCTCACTCTGTCGCCCAGACTGGAGTGCAGTGGCCGCTCCCGGCCACCGCAGCCTCGACTTGCTGGGTACCGGCGATCCTTCCTCCTCAGCCTTCCAAGTAGCCGGAATTACAGGCATGCGCTACCATGCTCGGCTGATTTTTTTTTTTTTTTTTTTTTATTGTAGAGATGAGGTCTCGCTGCCCAGGCGGGTCTCGAACCCGCGGGCTCAGGCAATCCACTCACCTCAGCCTCCCAAAGGCGCGGGATGACAGGCTGAGCCACGGAGTATGGGATGCGTGTGTGATTCTGTTACATGCATAGATTGCATAGTGGTCAAGCCAGGGCTGTCCGTGTACCCGGGACCCATTTATTCACAAGCTTTGAAACCAAGCCTTGGGCGTGACGTTCAAAAGGCAACAGGATAGTTTGACTTCCAGGACAGAGAAAAGATTTGGGCCAGGTGTGGTGGCTTATACCTGTAATCCCAGCACTTGGGGAG